TATCTTCAGTCGATTGTAACCTGCATTCCGGATAGTCAGTTATTTTATCACATCGGGATCGGAAATTCCCCTTTTTTACAGACGCAAGTTTTATATCGAGTGGATTTTATATCCTTTAAAATTTATTTACGGCCTCAATAAATTATTAAAAAATAAATCATTTAATATGACTAATTAAGTTTAACCTCTATTTCTACTAGTCCGTACTGAGAGAAAAAAAAAATCCGGAAATTATCTTTTACACAAGTCAGGCATCAAAGTACTGAAAAGTATCATTTAAGTAGGGCGGCACACGTGAACCATCAAAAACCAAATAAATTTTGGAATAACATGTATCATTTTAACTGTGTTTAAAATTTCATCATGGTTCAAGGTTGGCGCCTACAAAAAATCGCTGTAAAAAGGTCTAAATTTCTTTGAAACTTGGTATTTTTGCATTACCGCATCCGGTTTTGATGTTTATAATAAAGCACGCGCTGTTTCCTTCCCAAAAATCAAGACGGCGACCAAAGGTTTAACACCTAATAAATATTTGGCCAAAGTTTCGCTGCTTAATAATGAAGTTTGGTTTTCAGGAATTGACAGGGCCAAATCATACAGATTTTGGCGTTAGTTCTTTATCCTTTGAATTATCAATTTTGTAATCCCAACTTTAAGCCTGGCCTCTCTAATTAAATGTTAACTAGCCCTAGCCCTCGCTCATTTTAACAAACAGTAGATGAGACCATTGTTTTGTTTTTAAACACTGTGAGCCTGCATAAAGTTTTTAAAAAAAGGCCTTTCAATGAAATTTTAACCCCCAAAACATAAATGAAAACACTGAACATAGAAAAGCCACAAACAATACAAATCTGAACAGGCAATAAGAAAGACCCTAGAAAAATCCAGAGGTGGGGTCGGTTGAGTTGGGGTAGTAATAGGCACCTGTTGACCGGTGTCGCATTCGCCTTGAACCTAAATCATTGAACAGATAGACAGAATGTTCGGTATAAAACAAAGGCTTACCATCGATATGTTATATTTGCCAATAGATTATGTACGAAAAAGAAGTAAAATATAAGGTGCCGTATGGAACTGTATAGCCAAGATTCTGTAAGTACTTCAGTGGTATAAGGAGGTGCGGATACATGTAAGAATTCAGTGGTGGATCCAGGAATCTTGAAAAGGGTGTGGGGCCAGTTTAGAGTCTGGGTACGGACCCAGAGCCACACCAAAATAATGATTTATTAACTCATGCATATTTTGGAAGGGGGTGGTGCCCTGGGGCCCCTCTAATCCGCAAGTGAAGATACGGGTACCCCAAAGCGTAACGGATGGACGTACAGCTACATGTATACGGACGAATACCCACGTCACTATATACTCCTCTGCTTTTCAAGCAGAGAGTATAATGAACATCACGTAATTTGAAAATTCACATAAAATCATGTTCATGACTTTACTTAATCTGCCTTTCAAAATTCAACGTTTCGTGGACTTTTACGGATGGTACTAAATGCAACCACTAACTTATAAAATAATACTCTTCAAAGGTTATAGAATATACAGTAAACTGTATATTGACACCGTGAATCTATGACTTTGTGAAGTAAGTAGCTTTCACAAAAATCATCATCTTTGTATCCCTTAGTGGCATGATCGAAATTATCAGGAGTATGACCAAGAATATCAAAAAAAAAGGGTAGTGACCTAAACCATAAAAAAAATTATGATTTTCCAAAATGTGTTTTACCCCTGAACACCAAGCAGTCAAACTGTTGACACATTTATTAAAAGCAAGAACTGAAAATCTGGTTTATGCCACAGGAATAAACTTTGGTTAGGGAAGCATAAATACATTATGCTATGCTTTATTAGTCTTCTAGATGAAACCAGAGGGGACTAAAAGCTTCCTCTGCGTCCATCCCTCTGTGTTTCTGCCAGTTTGTCCAACTTTTATTATTTTTCGCATATTTTTTTCTAAATGCTTGCAGAAATTGATGTGAGTTATTTGGTTTTCTGCATTTTTTGGAACGCTTACATGGTGAGCTGATTTTAACTTGATGAATTAAAGATCAAGTTTGCATTTAGTTCCGCATCATGATTTGTAACTGAATTATGACATTTTCAATTTTAAGGACCGGAATTAGATTATACTTGCCGGTAGGGGACTGATTTTGTTAATGCCCACTCTGAGAATGCTTGTTATCATCGATTGCTTTGAGTTATTCGCAGATCTCATGATGTCAAATTCCTGACATGACAATAATACTAGACAATGTGCCTTATTCTATAACTGTGAAATTCAGGTCCTAAATTTGTTTATTTGCATTTTAAGGGTAACACTTTCAAATCCTTTCCATTTACTAAATAATATATGATCAAAACACTTTCCAATACTAAAATGTGAATAGTAAATTTCTATTCACTGCCTTGACCAAATCACTGATGTTAATCTCCTACAGTGTAAGATTATAGCAAAAATATTCAAGTAAACAATTTATTGTTCTGTGTTTCCAGTTATTGAACGTATACTCTAAAAAATCGCTTAATAAAGTTAATGTGCTTTCTTTCTTCCTTACTCTATTCTAATGACTTCATTCAAATATATTATTATCTCACTTCAGGTTGTAAATGATTAATGGATACAATGTTCACCAAATTGATGTAAAAGCAATTGCTTTCTGAAATTGATGGGTTTTATGTAAGCTAGGTAGATTTTTCTTGTCCTTCTATAGATTGTCTTCTGGCCAGAATAAAATCTAAACATTTCATCAACAGAACATCACCCTTGAAGTGCAATTACATTCATACTTTATAACACTAAGTGTGATTACTTATTTTTTTCAATGTTCGGTTACAGTCATCCGGCTAATGTAGTTCATGTAGAGCAAGCGAAAGAAGAATCTGATACCCTATTAATAATTTTAATTAACCAGGGGAGAAATAATTACCTGAATAATTTAAAATTGTATCTTTCACCTTAAATGATCATTAATACATGCTGTTCGTAATTAAATAAAATAAAGGTCGGTATGTTAAAAATACAAGTGTTTGATAATTGCTTTTTTCGAAGTAAATTGAAATTTTTGAATATTGCTTTTCTTCAAAATGATACTGCAGATGGTCATTATCCATAATAAAATATTTCTGTAATTAAAATTTGTCTCAAGACCCAAGAATTTTTTTTTATCTACTATTGAATAATCGTGAAATAAACCCAAACACTTGATTATTTAAATCAATAGGAAGCATGTTCCTCGTAATAAAAGAGTATTGAAGGTATTGGCAATGAGCTGACCACATCACTTGTTCACTTTTTCACGATATCTATGTACTTTATATAACTGTTACATTTAAATCGTGATCAATTAGTCAAAATCACTTTTTGATAGCTGATTTTATACTTTTAAGGAACAATCTTTGAACAACACATTTATTATTTATCTGTCGACGAATGAGTTGATTATCGTTGTATTATTCTAGGTACTTCCGGCACACATTATTCAAAGTAATTTTATATTTATTATCTAGATTAAAAGGGAAAACTAAACAATTAATAAAACTGTCATGTTTTCATTCATCCCTATCTAACATGAAAATAAATTTCTCATAATTTTCAGTTCATTAATCTTATCGAAGCAAAGTAATTAATTGGATGTGCTAACAATGTATGTTACAGCAGGTGACAAATTTCCCATTATTGAAATTTGCTAGACTGGAATAATTCACTAGATTGTTATCCATTATATTATAATTTTGGGATTTAATTGTCATTTCGTTGTATATGACAATCACTGCACACAACAATAAAAGCCTATCTATAATCTCGTCTCGCTACGTTGCAAATCCTAGAAAAAAAAAATTGCAAATTGCTGAATGGATCTATAGAGCAATAACACATCTTAATAATTGCTTGGAGGGAAAGATAAAGATCATTGCATATTACATATATTTTTTCAGATACATTAATTATTATTTAAGTCTTGTTTCACTCCGATTTCTTTGTAGGAAGTAACTTTGAATCTAGCATAAACCAACGGATCTAAATTGAGCTGAAGCGCTTTTGATGCTTTCAATGCTAATCTTAAAGTTTATAACTTTACTCTTAATTTTTAAGATACAAGGAAAAAGTAATTAGCGTCTTGATACATTATGTCGGTATAAAAATGGATAAAATGGATAAAAAATAAAGGTGTGTATTGAAAAATATTCTTTTTTAAAATCTTTTATCTCTAATTATATTTGACGTGCAATATATCAGAAAAAAATTATAATTATTGACTAATAGTCATAATTATTATATTTTGGTGAAAAAACAGCTTTTGTAGATAGCTAGGGTTTTCTGCGGTTAACTGTAAATTCTCATTCTTGCGAAAAAAAAAATTGTTAAGGTTTGAAATGATGCCCTTATAAAATTTCAGTTCTAATGCAAATTAAAAATCGAGAACTGAACACCTGACAAATGAAAAAGATTTATGTTGTACTTTGATTTTTGTGATTTAATTTCAATATCTAAACTTTGTCCATAGACTTGACGTTTTGTTATACATGCACATTAAAAACTTTTAAGATATTGACTCTAAGCAATTAGTTCTTGCTTGCCTTGGATGCTCTAAATCATTTCGTTAGAAAACAATCTTGGTTTGAAGAAAAGTGAATTTGTAGATATTTAATTTCGTAGTTGAAAAAAAAATGCACTGGCTATTTTGTAATTTTGATTTTATTGAGAACATTAAATCGTTTCTATCTCCAAAACAACAAAATCTATGACTCCACAAAATGCAAAATCTGTAAATCTCATTAATTTCTAACGATACGTGAACCCTGAGGAAAAACATACGGACCAAATTGAAAGTAAAACTGAAAAGAGAAAGAGAGAGGAGATAATTCTTACAAATCATTCCTTTAGCTCAACATAACATTCAATTGAAACGAAGTAAATCAAGTAACATCCTTCATCTTTAAGTATATTTATGATATTTATAATATGTCGGAATAAACTCTTTTATGTTTTGCAGTTAAAATCAAGATGGATGACAAAGATCAGAAAGTCATCGTGATTGTCATGCAAAGTATCTTCAGCTTGGTGGGAACCATCGGAAACTCTCTTGTATTATACATTTACCTGAGGAAAAAAGACAAGTCTACGTCCAGTATATTTATTTTAGGTTTGGCTGGAGCCGACTTCTTTACCTGCTTAGTGATAATCCCATTTAATATCGTCACCGTGTATCTTGACTACAAACATGGTTATGATGCTATGTGCCAGTTGTATATGTTTTTGATAACCGGTGGTGTACCATTTGCAACTCTCATTATGGTGGCCATAGCATTTGATAGATACTTTTGCATCTGCCATCCGTTTCTTCATGTAATAACAATTTTTCGAGCGAAATTGATCATCTTCATTCTTCTGATTTTTGCTGGTACTCTCGGTGTTTTGGTAGCACTAATGTATGGAATAAACGATATGAACGGGTTGGTACCCAGTTCCACAAATAATAATAGTTCGTGTTCCTTTAATACATCTACCATGAACAAATCAGCTGATTACAATTCAACAATATATGAAGTGAACGACTCTTTAGATAATGCAGAGGGCTTTTATGACCCATCGTATGGAATGTGTATACCAAAATATGACATCTTTAATGAGGATTTTGTGTTACTTTTTTCTAAGATTCACGCTGTTTTGTATCTACTTATGTTTTTATTTGTCGTAGTACTTTACTCTTTAATATATCGTGAAATACATGTAAGACGAGCAAGAAAGGCTAAGAGGAAACGATCAAGTCTTTATCCGAGTCAGAGTTGTCAACCTGAGGCTTCTCTAGCGGAAACGGAAATGACCTTGATGCATGTTCAACAATCAGACGGAAATGCCAATAATACAGTTAAAAATGGTAGATCACGAAAGATTGGTGCAACGCTTAAAGAAAAGCAATTTTTAGCCAATATTCGAACGGCAGCCATGTTGTTTATTGTCACAATTGTTTTCTTAATAGCATTTTTACCCGCCTTGCTTATGACACAGGAACTTATTCCATTCAACATTGTTATTTTCTACACTTATTTTGTATACAATACAACAAATCCAGTCATATATTCTTTTATGAACAAATCATTTAGAACGGAGCTGAAAAACCTGTATGGAAAAATGTGTAAGGGTAATCGAAAATACAACAGATAAGAAGATTGAGCCAACTATACATCTGTTGTACCAGACTGTGTGACTTGCAGATTGACTTTACACAAAAATTGGCAGAAATTTCAATAATGTTACATTTGTTAATGTATGTGCCTTGATTTTGTAGACTGAATAAAACAAATGTTTTGATTTTTGTTGAAGAGAAATTTATATCCCCGGCTAATGAGCAGTATTTTAATACGAGCAGTATTTCAATACAAGACTTTCATCGATTGATATCAGCTTATTTGGTGAAAGAGTAAACAGAGTTTAGGGTCTGAAAAGGTAAACTGGATTTACATTCGTGAATAAAACCTTTGGCTGAGTATTAGCAGACGTTTTGTTAATTCCACCACAAGTCTAGAATAATTACAAGAAATACTCTTTGTCAATTATTCTTGAAATGACAATGGATTTAATAATTGATATCAAACAAAGGACAGAGGCGTTTGTTAGGGTCTTTAAAGGAAGCCGTCTAAAGGCAATGTAAACAAGTCAATTATCCCAAGAACGCACTGAAAATTCAAATTAAAAATACGAATATGTGCATGACTATATTTAAAAAGTTATAATTATTGAAGTTCTTACAATAAATGCTAGCGTGCAATAAATGAATATGACGTGGTATTTTGCAGCATGTGTTTCAGTTTCCGTCTCCAATTACATCTACCGTCATCTGAAAACCAATTACAAGAAAGTTCAATATTTAAACAAGTAAAATTCGTTCCATATTGTTACCTTAAACGATCGGTCAATTAATGTTTAAAAATACTTTTTGTTCCTTTTATCAATGATAATTGAATTTAGATGCATTATTGATGCAAAGGATATTGTCAATCAATGTTTAAGTTTATGGTACTAAATAAGTCATTATTGAATTACAGATTTTAAACGTATTCAAAATTTTTATATATCTGCTCATTTTCAAAACTCGGGGATGAAAATACCACTCGCTGGATAAAACTGTATACACTGTTTCTACAAATATATTCTGGAGAGGGACGTTAAACAGTATATAATAACGCCACTTTATTTTACTTCACCACTCTATTACAAAACCCATAATTTCCTATGTAGCTTTGATTGGTTACAGAGTAGGGTGTTAATTTCCGTGCACCCGACTTGAGCCGGGGGGGGGGGTAAATAAGACGTGACGTCACAATACATACTTTCTCTATGATCAATACCAATTACCATGACGTCACGATGCATTGTAGTACGTAGTTATATTAATGATAGGGTAGTTTGATAAAAGAGCTATCCCTCTCACAACCAGTGGATAAGCGTTTTATTATACTGATGTACAATATAATTTCTGAGGTTTGAATATTTTTGGAGTCAGATAATTCTGCAAGAATAATCTGAAATCCTGATGACGTCACAATGCTACTGAAGTCTCCGCGCTCACACTCTTTCCCCCCGCACTCACACACACACCCTCTCTCTCCACGCATTCTCACTCTCACAGGCACTATCTCACTCACTATCTCTCCTTACACTCTCACTCTCCCCACACTCTCACTTTCCCCACATTCTCTCTCTCCACACCCTCTCTCTCCACACGCACTTTTTCACACTCTCTCTCTCCTTACACTCTCTCTCCCCACACATTCTCTCCCCCTACATTTTCTCTCTCCGCACTTTCACACACAGTCTCTCTCTCCCCACATTCTCTATCTTCCCACATTCACCCTTCCTCCCCGCACACACACTCTCTCTCTGCACTTTCACACACTTCTCTTCTTATCAAGAGAGAGAGAAAAAGAGAAAGGAAGAGAGAGAGAGAATAGAGGGTAGAGAGAGAGAAGAGTTGAGGTATAGAAAGTGAGAGAAAGAGGGGTGAAAGAAACAAGATCGAGAGAGAAAACAACTAAAAAGAGCAAGTACAGGGAGAGAAAAGAGAGGAGAATGGGAAAGAGAGAGGAAGAGAGTTAAGATACTCTTTCCTCCCTCATCAAATGTGTTTTCAATACAGTTTCTGTTTATGGAGACTATGTATGAAGATTTAATTAAAAAATAATAGTGTTTTAGATCTGTGAAAATATGTTATCGCTAAAATTACTATAATGGTTGCACGGATAAATATCAAATTACAGTCACGCATTTTTAATTCAGATATTTAATATTTTTGAATAATAATACAACAACCGAAAATTATGTTGATTTGTATCCACGAAGTAAACCCTAAAAACGCACAACGTATATACAACGTTACAGCCAAGAAAAAGACGACTGAACCATCAACAGCACTTTCTGTCATATAGGCATTTATGTCCGCTCTATACTGAAAAAGATAGGCAAATCCTAATATTTTTAATGTAATTGGCTATTACACATTAGGATGAAGGGTTAAATCTAACTCGGCTGTGTGGTATTAAATAACTTTACTGTGCTTAACATTATACACTTCATAACAGGTACGACACAAAAATGACTTCATAATTAGTAAAATCCATTATTATACTTCTGTTAAAATGTTTCCTAAAATAAAGTTCAGAGGGTAAAATAAGCTATACCCCGGGGTCTAGTTTTTGCTATCCACCCTCGGAAAATTTTCATGCAATTGTTGCCGCCAATTTTGATTAACTTTAAACTGATGATGCCATAATGACTTCAGTAGCATTGTGACGTCATCAGGATTTCAGATTATTCTTGCAGAATTATCTTACTCCAAAAAATTCAAAGCTCAGAAATTATATTATACATTAGTATAATAAAACGCTTATCCACTGGTTGTGAGTGGGATAGCTCTTTTATCAAACCCTTGACTGATGTATATTATATACTACTACTATTCCATACAACCCGGGGTAAATCCCGTACACCCTTCATTGAACCTGGATAATTAATATTGTGATGTCACAACTGTGGGATATCAAACATATCCACGGGATAAACATTGGATATATTTTATGTGCATGTACAGAATATGCATTATAGAATCACAATGAATACAAGTCGGAGTAATATAATGATGAAGAAAAGTTTTAATTAAAGCTACAAAATAATAGTTCATAGGTTTTTCTGGATCTAGGTCAGTATTTACATGGACTGGGTTTCCTGCATTTATCAAATGTAAATTCCGTATTGATAAGTAAATACTTATATTATTAATATACATATTCGACCTTGGGGATTAAACTACTTTTGAAAACACCTTTAGCCTTGGCCACAACTTTCGAACGGCAAGGGCTTAGGCTTTCATACTTCATATATGTAATATTTCATAGGATAACAACTTCGACCCTTTGACCTTGGAGTTTGACCTACTTTATCTTTGACGCTGGCCATAATATTTGAACTGTTAGGACTACGGCTTTCATACTTCAGATATGTAATCCTTCAGACAAGACCTTCCTCCAGAAATAAACAACTTTGACCTTGATCCTTGAGTTTGAGATTCCTTTAAAAAACTTAAACTTGTCCATAACTTTTGAACAGGTGGTGCTAGGGCTTTCATATTTCACATTATATTGCATATATAGCTTGTGAGAAGGCCTTACTTTGGATACCAACATTATTTGGCTTGCATTTAAGAAAGTTTAACCTTCGCTATGTTGCCATACGGGGTCTTGAGAAAACGATTTTTCAAACATACCACCAAATTTTCACTAATTCCCAATCATCTCCCCTTGAATGAAGGCGTGGCCCTTCATTTGAAGAAACTAAAATCCTCTTCACTTAAGGATGTTTTGTGGCAAGTTTGGTTGAATTTGGCCAAGCTGTTCTTGAGAAGAAGTTTACAGACAGACCGACGCCGGACAAAATGTGATCAGAAAAGCTCACTAGAGCCTTCGGCTCAGGTGAGCTAAAAACTTCGAATTATAATGCCCGCCGTCTCAAATAGGTTCTGTCAGCTAGTCACATGTCATACCTCCGCTTGGTAACCCTGGAAATGCTTACGCAGCTGGGTGACAATGGCAAAAGGCGAGTCTTCGGCGCCTTTAAATACTAGTAACTGGGTATTGACAAACAAGTCAAAAAGAGTGTTAGGAAGGACAAATTGCGGTTCGTTCATGACATGACTGAAGAGGCGGAAAAAGCAGCCAAACAGAACAACATGAAAAAGCTCTATAAAATAACCAGAACTCTCGGGAAAAAATGTAAACACCAACAGCCGAGTGAGGAACAAACACTTTAAAGAAGTTCTAAACCACCAAGTCTTGGAAATAAACCACCAATGAAAGAATTTCACATCAATGCAGGACCACAATGTAGAATAGAAATCACAAAGGCTATAAAGACACTGAAAAATGAAAAGGCAGCTTGTTCAGATGGTATCCCTCCTGAGGCATTCAAAGCTACTCCAACAAAGGCAGCAGAGGTGTAATAACCACTTCTGCAAAAGATATGGGAAAAGGAAAAAGTACCAGATGCATGGAAAACAGGAAACCTGGTTAAACTACCTAAGAAAGGGGACCTGTCGCAGTGTGGAAATTGGAGAGGCATCATGCTTTTGTCCATTGCCAGTAAGATCCTTACAAGAATAATGTTGGAAAGAATGAAAGGAGCATTGGACAAGAAGCTTTAGTTAGATCAGAGCAAGTAGGGTTCCGCCAGGACAGATCATGCATAGATCATATTGCCACACTACGCATTGTTATTGAACAGTCCAATAAATGGCAGTCCCCTCTTTACTCAATCTTCGTGGACTTTGAGAAGGCCTTTGATAGTGTGGATAGGCCAACCTTCTGAACATTAATGAGGCATTATGAAATTCCATCAAAGTTCATGTGTCATCAGGATGATGTATGATGATGCCACTTATATTATCATTAATAAGGGGAAGCTCACAGATCCTTTCAATGTGGAAACAGGAGTAAGGCAGGGCTGCATCCTGCCACCTACCATATTTTTGACAGCCATTGACAGGATCATGCAGGAAACCAGAAAGGGCGGTAAAAGTGGAATCCAGTGGACCTTCACCAAACAGCTTGAGAACCTGGATTTTGCAGATGACATTGACCTGCTCTCGCACAAGCAACAAGATGTTCAAGAGAAACTATTACGATTGGCATCAGAAGCTCAAAAAACTGGCCTTAAAATAAACACCAAAAAGACAGAGGTGATGAGAATCAACAAAAAACAAGAGATAGCAACCCAGTTAAATGGGGAGAACATCAAAGAAACTGACAGATTCACCTATCTTGGGAGTACTGTAAACAAGGATGG